CTGAGTCATTTTATTTTGGGGAATTTTCAGATTTCTAAAGTTCGGGTCTTTTTTTTGGATTGAAATTTGGATTAATTAGTCAAATTATGGATATGAATTATTATAATTCAATAGGTTTTGACTCATTAAAGTAATGGTTGTTTGTCAATATATGTATGGGTTATCATGTATAACTCAATAAGCTTTGACCCAATCGATATTTGGCACGTAGACTCGTGACTTTATTATAAATTTGAGTCTTCATTGTTTTGTGAAAATTCATAAGAATTTGAATTTATTTGTCCGAAATTTATTGTTGGCTTTAAATCTAATAAGGTTGAATTTGTGAGCTCATTTTTGTACTTTAAGCTCAAATTCAAATAAATATGAATTTTTATGATTTATGATGGTTTAGGCTCATCTTTGGGTTATAAAGTGAAGATTTCTAGTCGACTTTATTTTGACTTTAAATCTAAATAACGTGGGATTTGGGTTCATAAGGTAATTTAATTAGGCCTCTGACTAAAGATTGTTTGAGAAAGTCTAAAGGCTTAAATTCAGTTAAAATTCAAATATTGGTTTGGTTTATGTATTTTGATATGAATTAAGAGAAGCAGCATCTCGCCTAAGTGAGCTCTCCTGTGAAACTTAATTTATTTTAAAATACAAAAGGTTTTGTGCATGTAATAATGTGGGTATTGTGTCGGCCCTAAGGAAGGCCAATACTTTGCTGAATTGCATGTGCATATTGTGGTGGTAAACGCGTGGCGATTATTTGGTGTTTTGCATGTGAATAATAGTTTGGCCCTAAGGTAGAATTATTATTTGATGTGCTCTTATTGTCAGTGTTTGATTACTACACCAAGATATCACTTACAAGTCAATATCATTGTCCAAAGATAAGTTATTAATGGAGTGCCCGATATCTTGAGATGGAATATACCTTTATTTGAATTTTGTGGTTGATATATAATAAATATGTGACGGTTATTAGAATTTCATGCGAACTGTAAATTGGCCCTAAGGTAGATTTATTGTTTGACACGATAGTTTACCGTCAATATTTATTTATAAAAAGTTGTCGCTTAAAAGTTAACGAGTAGTCCATAACGTCATGTTAACATTGGGCTAGGTATTTTATGATAAATGAACCCGATTCCGTTTAATTATGTCATACATACATAGATTCTATTTGATATTTCTATGACATAATAGTAGTTGTGAGCATGTGTTCTTGTATATGTTCTCTATTTAATTCATGCTTCCGCTTCTGTATTATCTATCAATGTTACGTTAATTTTGGTTCTTGTGCTTTATAGCACAATTTACTTATTATTTAGGGTGCACATATCTTCATTTTATCTTTTAAATAGAACGAACAACTAGTTTTTTCGGAATTAAAAGTTTCCTTAAGGTTAAGGTAAAAGGGACTTAAAGAATATGATCGTTCTAATTATAAGTATTAAGATCATTTGGTGCACTATTTAAGAAATCTTTCGGGGCATCAAGATTGATAGGGCAAGTACTAGAATATTTCTTAAGGCACTTTTGATACGTTTTATTATTAAAACGACAAGTTTGAATCAAGTATAGTTTTTGACTAATCTTGTTTCATTATTAATGAAAGAAAATAAATATAAAGGAGTACATTCAGTATTAGTCTAATCTCACTTTCGGCTTAAGCACTAAAGTTACGATTTATTAACTTTAAAGTGCATATGGTTTGATTTTTCTTTCTACATCTATAGTCAACATAAGGTTTGTTTCAAAACCGAAAGGATAACTGAATTCTTTGTCAGCTCATGTTTGACTATGTGTAGGAATAAAATGACATAAACGAGAAAAGACTAAAAGTACTCAGTTAACTACTATCCCATAGAATGGCACATTGTTGCAGTAGAGAAATCATAATAGATTTTTCCAAAAGTAACAGAATCATGTCCGCTTTATCTGTTATTTAAGGATATGAGTCTCCAAAGTATGTTAAATGACAAGTAAGGTTTTGCTTCTAATCTTAAGAGAAGCACTAAAGACTGCAACATATGGTTTTAAAGACGGGATGTATAAGATCTCTTAAGGATATTGAGTTTAAGGGGGGGAAGGGTTATACTCATTGTTGTATGAAAGAGAGAATTTATTTTTCTCATTTTGTTGCTATAGACAATAATAAAAATACCGTCTTCTCCCACATGAAGGAAATTGCTCCTTAAAGATAAACTCAACAACCTTAAGAGAATACAATATTAAATTGAGTTAAACTTAAGATGATAATGACATTTGGGATCTTATCAATTGTCAAAAGTGTGAAATCATTTGGTCACAAATGTATATTTGAGACCGTTTGAATTTCAATAGGCAATGTTGAAAAAGTTATAAACAAAGTCTAATCACCTAGAGTTTCACTCAATACGGACTCTATTTTAGAGTTTTAGGATTCCCTAAAAGGTGTTACAACTCATAATGATTATCTCGTATTTGTGAGGTAATTAAAGTTAATGTTTGTATATACCATGTGATACGTGGGAGATAATCCTGCACATCTCATTCAATGCCCAATAAAGATCTTACGGTAAGGAAGAATGCAAAAGGTTCCCTATGCTGTCAGCTTTGGGAAATTATATGCACACTTCGGTATGTACGCATTCGGCTAAATCGTACATAAAGTTAGGCAGATATTTAAATAATCCTTTGAAGTGGATCATTGAATAGAAACAAAAGGATTATACAGTAATTATAGAGAACATAAGGTCATTTATGCTCATTTATCGAAATCAGTTCATTTGGGAGATCATTTGGTTTTTTGATTTCGAGTTTGTATGATGCTTGTACATTATAGATCCATTTAATGTATACCTAATTAAAAGAGAATTTAAGTACGAGTGTTTAGCCAACACCCAAAACTTTTTTTTTTAACTACGGTAATCAGTTTATAAAAGCATCTTATTTTGTAATATACAGAGTGGATAGGTGTCTATAGAATACGTCGATATAAACTCCATTATGTGTGCACACTAAGGATGTCACCCAAAAGGTCTCATGAGCATATTGCTCGTATGGGTGTCATATTAATTAAGGATATTCGGTTTTAGTGGGAGTTTATAATAAATGTGTTCTTTTGGCGTAGACACAATTTTTGGGTTAATTTCGGATTAAGGATACTCTTAGGATAATTTCTCCAGAAATAAGGTTTTGGTTTATTCACACTCTGATTGTTAAGGTTTGATCTCGTTAAGGAGGACCAATTGGAAATAGGTATGTTAAGGTCACATTGCATGACATTTCCATGCTACACATCCACATCATAATCTATGTCATTCAATTGTGTTGATATTGTGACCATTGTTGGGTCCCGTTACGACTAATGTGAACGAAGGCCCCTTTGATTCAGTGTTAGCATGAATGATGGACGAGATTGGTTATAGGCACACTTCAGTAATGACAGCAAAGTTGAGCTCAAAAATTTATTTATGCAACCTATAATTATAAAGTTACACATATAGTCCAAGTGGGAGATTGTTGGAACATTAATCCAACGTTGGACTTATATGTGAAATATTATGTGTTGCAAGACTGTCACGTAAAGTTAAGCCCGTTAAAGTGATCGACTAAAGTTTATCTGGATTGGGCTTTAATGTGTCTAATAGGGTGTGGGCCTTTAATGTGTAGAGACATTAGGGTAATTTTATTATAGTGATGGGCTAAAATAAAATTACACAAGATAGCCCATTAGGTTATCTATATATATTGGTCATGGTCCCCGGATCACATGTACGAATTCCATTCTCTATGTATTCCATCGACATAAAGAAAACGAAGAGAAGTCTAAAGGGTTCTCGGGTTCGGATGTACATGATGATCTGGAAGATCCATGATCGTTTCATATCAATTCCACCGGAGTAAGGTACGCTTCCGATTTAAGTTTATGCACAATATTCTTGATATTCGGCATGACGGTTCCATGGGATTTATTCAAGTTTATTCCTACACTTTGGTGTTTAGAAAACATTGATTATTATTATTAGCTTTTATTATTATTGTTGATTAATCTGAAATATTGAATAAACACATGATATATAGTTTGTTAGTTGATACAATATGTGTGTGTCTTGTCTAAAATTCAATGAAATATAAATCAAATATTAAAAAAAAGTTACTCCTTATTCAGTGCATGATTGATTATTGAAAGTTCACCTGAACTTAGTTCGTTAACCGTTAAAGTTCGATTCGAACAAGAGATTGATTAGACAAAATATGTATTCGGAGATACATATATAAAAAAAAATACTTTATGGGTGCGCTTTTGCCGCCGAAACGGAAGTCGTTGCCGGCTCCGATTCGAGTCCCGGACGGAACCCCAAACGAGGGTTTAGCGTTGATTGTCGATGAAATTAATTGGACGGTTTGATTCTCAACACATGGAACAAATTGGACACAATTAGGGTTCCTAAGTTTCGAATTTATGACTTTTAATTAGGGTTCCAAAATTTCAGAATCGGACAAAGATAATTATTCCGGAAGAAATCGAATTTTTTTGTTCGAAAATTTCCTAAAGAAAAAATAAAAAGTAATGTATATGAAACTATCGCATAAAATTGTAAATAAAAATATTAATTTGTTTTTTAGAACATGCAATTGTAAAGAAATTTTCAATGGTATTTAACAAAGGAATTAAATAGCATATTTAGTATTGAAAAAAATGAAAAAATGGATATTGGCCCATGCAGGTCTCGAACCTGCGACCTTCGCGTTATTAGCACGACGCTCTAACCAACTGAGCTAATGGGCCATTTTGTTTTATTTACAATTTATTACTTACAAGTATAGAGAGAATAATATACAAATAGAGAATTCTGGTACCTAGATGGATTTTTGTTAAACCATGTTTCATCTTAAATTTTGAATTATTATGAAGTATTTTTTTCCAATTCTTCTCAAAAAATATAAATTACTTGGTTTAATTTTCCTGCAATTACTGGAAGTTAAATGTGCATTTATCAATAAAATATGTAGTAAAACAAACATTTATCACAATACATAAATTACTATTCACACAAGTACAATTAAATTACGTGGAACTTCATAAGTTTAAAACTTTTCTCCAATATGAAGAAGCTCAATTTAGCAGCGCATCTCGAAGCAATTTTCGAAAATTACAATCATAATAACGAAACTTAATTTGTTACGCCGAGAAAATACCAGCACAATAAAAGCCAACATTTTGCTTCTTGTAATAATAATAATAATAATAATAATCGATATATACAATGACATTTTTACACTTTGCGATTTTCTGCTTTGTTATTCACTTTCTTCGTGAATGGTTTCATCCACGACTAGAAAAACTCTAGGGCGTCTCATCGAACGCCATCACCTACAAATACACGCAATAAAATATATAATAAAAAATAATTTTACAAATAAAAATAAAAATACAGCCTCCTTTGGTTCACGATAAGCAAAACAACAGCCAAACATCAAATAAGACCTAACTATTTAATCGATAGCTAGGTATTCAAAACTATCTCGAGCAAAAGCATAGGGAAAAAAATCGAGTCATCAAGCACAAAAGTTATCGCCAACTAGAAAGTGTTTAAATTTTTTAATATATATATTTTAATTCTTTTCTCAAAACTAACGGAAAAGCTAGAAACCAATAGTAAAAGAATACCATGGCAATAAAAATAATAAAAATTTGAATAAACAAATGCTAGCGTTCGTTTAGGAAACAAGTTTCGGATTCTTTAGAAAGGTCAACAATTGAAGGGAGTCGATCGTCATTTCAATTGGAAAATAAATAAATCTAAATTTACGTTAAAAAAAAATTATTTATTTTTATAAATAAAAAAATATTAAACAAATAATGAACACGAGTAAAATGCTAATTACCTTGCCACAGACGGGGCAGTTATCACTTCTTTCCATCCACTCATATATACAACCGAGATGGAAATGGTGCGTACAACTCGTAACTATTTTCGGATTTTCCGTCGTATATTCTGCAACGAGAAAATAGAAAAAGGATTTTCCGTCGTAATAATATTTAATTCATCACTAATTATAAAACGAAAAAAAAAAAAGTTACTATTTAATACCTTCAAGACACGTCGGGCAGACATCTTCATCTTCAGAAGTATAAATATGAGAAAAACCCGAGGCCTGTTTGGCAGTCGAGAGTTTCAACGAAGATTTCGAATTATATTCTTTGGACCCTTCTTCGCAAATAAACTCGTCCCATTTATTTTTCGTACTAACAGATTCGGATTCTTCATCGTCTTCGTTTCTTCTTAGTGGTTCGGTTTCGTCGTGCGAATGGCTCGACCCTTTCTCCCTTCTAGAAACTAGTCCGTCTCTCTGCAAACGAAAAAATCTGGGGTCCGCATCGTAAGGTAACGGTCTTGGCGGAGACCTGTACATATCGGCTAATGAGTTGTCGATTGATGACGTGGAGTTTAAAGATGATGACGTCACTTGTGTCGATGAAGGTAAGGCTCGTTGTTCTTCTCCTCGGTGAAATAGTGAAGTATACTGCACAAATGAATAATCAAATTGGGATATATATATATATATATATATATATATATATATATATATTAATTATATTATATTATGATGGGCTTGATTATAAACCCGAACAAATCTCGATTATATCGTCTATCAAGCCTAATCATGATTCCCAAACAAGGCCTAACTAATATTACTAGACTAAAACATCAAGAATCGAAGGTATAAAACATATTGCATACATCAAGATCTCGTTCGGTTTGTAATGTTAGTCATGATTAATTAAATAATTTGATGTTTGGTTAGTCAAATAACTTCACGGGATTGCGTGTCGAAACTCCTCTAATCAAATTGTGTGATTGGGGTTTCGTAAGATTGGATAATGGGAAATTTACACTGTTTGTCCCTCAAGTTTACCTCGAATTCACATTTGGTCCTCCTTGTTCACAAAAAAACAGATTTACTCCCTCATGTTTAAAAAATATAACACTTATTCGGTCATTTCCGTCAATTTTCCGTTAGTTCCTAATGGAATCAAGCATGTTCCCATCACTGTCTTAATTGAAAAACTAACGGTAAATTCACAAAAATGATCAAAACTATTAAATTGTTGAAACATTGGGGACCAAATGTGAAATTGGAGCAAACTTGAAGGACGAAAACTCTAATTTTCCCATTGGATAATTCATAATATTATCTTGGCTAATCCTATTTTGGAAACCAAACGAGGCTCCATTAATTTTAAATTGTATTTGAAATGGAAGAATTTGAGCTAAACATTTCAAATCCAATATAATGAGGACTTCATCCAATTATTGAAATAACGTGTTATTATTATCGGACAAACGAATCAAGAATTCAAGGATGTAAGAACATACCACGTGCAAGAAAGCCTGGACGAAGCAATGAAGGCAAATGCAGTTCCTATAAATCGAACTGTTCGGATTAGAGAAATCCTCCAAATCGTCCCTCAAACAGCAACAAGCAGCACCCATTGTTTATCAAACTCGCCTATTCACTTAGAAAAATTCGATTCAAAATTCAAAAGCCCCTTTTTACCCCTCTCCCAATTTCTTGAATCGAACCAGATGAAACTACAGAAACATCGAAAACGATCGAACCCGAGCTCCCGGAAGCTCAATTAACTTGACAAAAAAGCAACCCTCTCTCACAAGAGAAACAAAGTGTATTCACCTGCAAAATCAAGAACTAAATTTACAAATTCAAGAATGGTAAAAATTGAGTCTTTTTTTTTACTTTATTTTATTTATTTATAATTACCATGATTTAGTGAAGGGAATAATGTATTCATCAATCAAACAAAAAACATAAGTAATTTAAAAAAAAAAAAAAAAAAATTCAGAAAGTAAATAACCAGTCATGAACAGTCGTAGAAATTCAACTTTCTTCAAAATCAAGCAAGAAGTAATCACCTAATATTTTTCGCCACAACACAAATTACGAAAAAACCCATGATTTGTTTTGCAGTTGATTCGTCAATCTGATAAAACCCATTACCGATTATGAAGCTCTTAACTGATCCCAACCCAAAAAAATAAATTAAATTAAATTAAAAAAAAAAACGATAACTGAAGAAAAATTAAAGTACCAATTTCACGGAGTTAGATTCTTCTGCAGAGACAAGAGCCGGGATTTACGAGGTCAGAAGTCGTGTATTTCTTGTAAGAAAATAAAAATCAATTTATTTTTCCTGCAAATATATACAGACATAATGAAGAGGACGAATTAATTGGACCGGAAAAGGAAAAAGAAAAAGGTTATAAAAATAAAAGGTAAATTATGAAAGTCCCCCTAAACTTAGGATAAATAACAAAAATACCCCCACCTATTCGAAATTGCCAAAAACCCCCTGAGGTTTGTTTTCATCTTACACCAACCCGTTACTGCGTGACTTTTCACGGATTTTTTTTTTATTTTACGAAATAAACCTTATTTGATTTCATATACTTTATTTTATTTCTCACCTATTTAACAGAATGTATAATAGACTGTACATGTTTTATGTTAAAAAACTCGATCAACAGTTAATTAGAGAAGGGGTTTGGTTATTACAGATAGTAGGAGTGTTTTTTTTTATTTAGGTTAAGTTTCGGGGTATTTTCTTAATTTACCAAAAAAGAAAAAGAAGTGGAACCACGCTTTTAGTACACCGTGGTGGGTGAAGTAGATTAGTCTTTTTTCTTAAGGGAGATTGAAAAATTAATTAGCAAGAATATTATTACTTTATTTCCTAAGTGCAAATTTTAATTTCAATTCACTTCCGCGTTATTTTAAAAATTAAGATTTCTGAAATTGGAATGAAAAAAAAAAAGCGAAAATCAATTTTTTTTTTCTATCAAACTCGACGAAATTTGTAATATCCGTTTTTCATTTTTTTATTCGTCGTTAATATAAAACATATAATAACACCGATAGTTAAGGTGTAATTTTTGGAGAAAAAAAAATGAAATTAAAGTCGAATCGAAATTCAGAATCTAATAGATTCTAACTTTGTTCTAAAAAATTGGAAAAAAAATAAAAAAATATCGTATCTTTCGAAACTCATATGGTCAAAATCGGGAACCAACAAAATAATCCGTTCTAATTTTCACCTTTAGGCCCTATTAATCTATATTCATCCATTGTCGTCGTCAAATTATGGATGAGTGTTTGTTCAAATTTGCTCGAGATTTTTTTATCGAACTTTAAAAATTATGTTTTAAGCTCGATTTTGTCGAGGTGAGACGAATTTTATTCGGCCGTATAATGTCATGCCAATTTGGCCGACAACTTTTTGTACTACTTCACACCATTCGTTTTTGTATCTAATCTTAAGATGACATTTTTTTAAGCCCACCAAATTATCCTAACACCAAGATTTTTTTTTTTTTTTTTAATTTTTGCAGTTTAGTCCTCAAAGTTTGACAAACGTCAAAATGAGTCACAACTTAATAAGCTTTGGTTTCAATAACAAAATGAAATATCCAAAAAATAAGGATTATTTTACCCTCGGACCCTAGACAACCCCAAGTTTTATTTATCATATAACTCTTCAATCGATTTTTATAAATACGTTTAGAAGTTAGGTACGTGATTTTATCATTTTATTATTATTTCTCTCTACAATTTTGGATTTTCATCGAAAAACATCACGTTGCTCGTAACGTTATTTCTCGGCGCAAGTTCTCGCACTGTATTACGAGATTGTATATACCAAAATAAAAAAACAATTTGCTGCATAAAGTTCATTTTTCTAAATAAAATATTATTAATAGGTACAAATTCTTTTATATAAGTATCAACTTGAATAATATACCATATATTTTAATCATTATAACTCTGAGGGATAAATAATTAAACTTCAATGTTACTCATCAAAAAAGTCATTGGTAGGGACAATCATATGTATTATTAAAGTTTCTACTTGCAATTTTTTTTAGTCTTCAATCTGCATTTAATAATATTAAATGGTTATTGATTTATCTGTTTTTTAAAAAGTATTTATTGATCCATCTTTTTGACTTATCTTATGTTACAATGGCAAAAAAGTAAAATATTTAATTTTAAAATCAATTTAATATGAAGTGACCTAATCTTGATTTTGTTTTTTGAGTGTGACCTATTCTTGATTTTAATTTTTAAATGGCTGATTTCTTGCTTTTTTTTCGAGGTTTTTATTGGCTGACGTTTGATTCTAATTACCCCCATTTTTTAAATATATAAATAAATATTGATACACAACTACATTGATTGACCCAATCAACTCACTTGCACCATATTTTTCTAGGTCTTATAATTGAAAAAAATGTATTTTTATATCATATAGAGAAAATAATTGGTCTAATTTTACTATATCTATATATATTTTGTCCATACAAAAATGAAAGTATATTTTTAGTGAAAAGTGAAAATAATTACAACTTTTTTTTGAAGTATTTTTGAATTTTACCGGGGTTAGAAATGTCCATGGGCTGGTTTTAACTACCAACCAACCCAATTTCGACCATATTTTTTTTTTAAATGGCTTAATCCTATCTTGCACCCTTGAAATGGTGTCTTTTGGCACTTTGTACCCTTGAAAATTAATAATAGCACTTTGCTTCCTCAAAACACGATAAATAATTCACAATACACCATTAATTGAATAATAAATGATAATTCATTTTTATATTGTTTTTTTGCTGGGGTGCAAAATAATAAATTAAATTGTTATTTTTCTTCAACCTTCAACCTAATTTTCAGCGTACAAAGTGCGAAAAATAAAAATCACACCGGATAGATCTTTTATTGTAATTGGTGGAAATATTAGGTAAACATATGTGGAAGATAATTTGATTTCAAATAACTTGATTACGAAATAGCAGAAGGATTTTTTTTTTTTTTCCGTAAAATATATTTTTGTGATAAAAATATATAGTTTATAAATACCACTAAAAATATTAAATTGTCTTGCATGATATATAGTGTTTCGAGGGTGCAAAGTGCTATTAATTTATTTTTGAGGGTGTAAAGTGCTAAAATGATATATTTCAAGGGTGCAAAGTGCGATTAAACCATTAATGATGTTGCATCACTAAATTGTACACTTTGACAAAGAAAATACAGAAGGTCAAACTTGAATATTTCGAACCGGGTCAGTTTCATTCGGGTCATAGATAAATTTCAATCGGGTTCACCATTGTCGAATCGGGTCACCCTAACAAATGGGTCAATTCGGGCAACTCGGGCGGGACCTCCGATTTTAAAACTCAGCTCACTCTTCTCCGATTTATACCCCTCCATTAATTTATCCATTTTTTTTTTAAATTCTGGATTTAGTTTCTTCTCTCACACACACTCAGTGTATTTCAATTCAACAGCACACACACAGACACTGAGTACAATACTACCGCACAAATTTATAGTTGGAATCAACGTTCGCCGTCGCCGGCGGTGTTAGATCCGTTGATTATTCACTTGAATCAGTTTGCAATTCGATTCATTCATTTGTACTGAAAAGTTTCCGATTAGGTCTGCGAAGAATTCAATTCCATGAAGATCTACTAGGGCGGGCGCTAATTTACAAAACCCTAGGGTTTGGTGATTAACTTCGATAATGCAAGGCTCATCGGGCTCGGCGGCGCAGCCCGACGCAATATTGGAATGGCTTCAGAAGGAAATGGGTTACAGGCCTCTCGGCCCGTACGCATCGTCCGCTAAGGCCTCTGCGCCCACTGCGGAATCTCTCCGCAAAATTTGCCGTGGGAACATGATTCCGGTGTGGAGTTTTTTGCTGAAGCGGGTGAAGTCGGAGAAGACGGTGGAGAATATTCGGAGGAATATTCTCGTTCATGGTGCGGACGACGGTGATAAAGTGAGGAGAAAGGGCAAATCTGGAGTGGGCAAGGAAGAGAGTAGCAGCGCTAGTACCAGGGAGATGGCATTGCAAGAGAGAGAGTCGGCGGAGAAGGAAGTGGAGAGGTTGAGGCAGATTGTGAGGCGGCAGCGCAAGGAGTTGAAGGCTAGGATGATCGAGGTCTCGAGGGAGGAGGCCGAGCGTAAGCGTATGCTCGACGAGCGGTCAAATTACAGGTTAATATCTAATTGCATTACTTTAAATTTGTTAACTGAAGGTTTTAATAAGACTGCAATTTTCTCTTTTGTTTCCTTGATTGTACTTGAGGGAGTTATGTGATGATGTAATGTTGCTGGGGAATTCGGATTATTTGGCCAAGAATTTTGAGAAGTTTTATATGTGGCCTAGGAAATTCATAAATCAGCAGACTTTGACTACCAAAAGAGTGAACAGAGGTTATGCTACAAGCAAGGATAGTTTGTGCTTGAAATTAAATGAAATTATTGGTAATTAAACGGTCAAATTCCAAATATAAGTAGTTGCATTTTATCGATGTTGATATCTGGACGACTGCTGCTAAAATTTCTGTCAAAATGCAGTTATTGCGTAGTGCTTTGATCTGATAATTAGATTGTCTATGTAAAGAACAATAACATAATAGTTCTTCTTGGTGTTTGAATAATTAGTTATTGATGTCTTAATGATGTTGAAGGGACAGTTCAAGTTGTAGATCATTTCCAAATTATATTTAGGAGATCTAAATTAATAGAATGATTCTATATCTGTAGGCACAAGCAGGTGATGTTGGAAGCTTATGACCAACAGTGTGATGAAGCAGCAAAAATATTTGCTGAGTACCATAAACGCCTTCGGTACTATGTAAACCAAGCTAGGGATTCTCAGAGGTGTAGCGTTGACTCCTCTATTGAAATGGTGACTAGCTTTCCAGCAAATAATGAGAAGGATTTGTATTCAACAGTCAAAGGCAACAAACCTGCGGATGATGTCATTCTGATCGAGACAACAAAAGAAAGAAATATCCGGAAAGTGTGTGAATCTCTTGCGTCGCAGATGTCCGAAAAAATTTGTAGCTCATTTCCAGCTTATGAAGGAAGTGGAATCCATGCAAATCCTCAATTGGAAGCCGCAAAATTAGGCATTGATATTGATGGCGATTTACCTACTGAAATTAAAGAATTGATTGCTGATTGTCTGAAAAGTCCGCCTCACTTACTGCAAGCAATCACTTCATACACCCAACGGTTAAAAATTCTGATCACTAAGGAAATAGAAAAAATCGATGTAAGAGCTGATGCAGAAGCATTAAGGTACTTCCTGAACAAGCACCTTGACCCTGTTTTGTTATTCTACTAACTTTTATATCTCAAGCTATTGCAATAAAATGAGTAATCAAATTGATAGGAATATGAGAATGCCTTTTGCATACTATTTGATTAGTCAGTTGCATTTTTGACTCATATCCATAAATTACTTGCAAAAAGCAGCATGTTTCACTGTTATTAGCTATGCTGCTGCATTTAGTATTTGAAAGTCATTGATATATGTTGCACACTTCATATGAAGTACAGCTTCATCTTGTTCTGATTGGTGTCTCCTGTAGTACAGCTTCATCTTGTTGATTATTGTAGCATCTGTGTATTATCACTGCAACTAGGAGTATACTTCACAGTTGTTCTATTTCACATGGTATTTTGTCCTTAAAAATGATTTTGGTCATACGTCAAGATATGCACTTTCGCACTTATGGTAATTGCTCTTGTTGCACACTTCCTTGGAAAGATCTTTGCATATCAACAATCACGGGTTTCACTTTGAATAATGGCTCTGTTTTGCATTCGCATAGTGTCATTTAGACAAGTTACTAACTGCAAGCCTATGGTTTTGTATATACTGTGAAGCATTTGTGATTTCTTCAATTTGGATACTTGTCCTCTTCTATAACATTTTTTAAGACCTTTATGATAATTGATTCGTAGGGATCTCCGACTCTCGGTAATCTCATTTTCTCTAAGACATGCACTCTCTCTTTGACAAACATATATCTGGGCGTTTCTCCACCTATTTTTTTTTGCATGGAAAATTAACTTTAATGCATTGGAATGTATCTCAATATCTTCTATTTTCTGTTTTCTCCGTTATAAAGGTACAAGTATGAGAACGACAGAATAATTGAGGCTTCTTCTATGGACATAAGCTCACCATTGCAGTATCATCTTTATGGTAATGGAAAGATCGGAGGTGATGCTCCTCCAAGAGGGACTGAAAATCAACTTCTAGAGAGACAGGTATTCCTTCATAATTCCTATTGACCAGTGTACAATTGTTTTTATTTTTCAACATTCATCCTCACATTTGCCTTTAATATATTTGTTCTTTCCTTGGGATTTATTATGTAGCTCATTTGCTTCGTCCTTAGGAATCAATGCAATAACTTCTTAACGCCTGCTCATTTTCTAAACTTCGAAGTCTGTATATGTCATTTCCCTCCAATGTTTCCTATCTAATGTAACTGTTATGGCCTTGTCACGTACATACATCTATCAAAATCTACAATATCCCACTTTGTTATTTATCTCAATGTATTATAAATTATTTTCTACAGAAAGCACACGTACAACAATTCTTGGCCACCGAAGATGCACTGAATAAAGCTGCAGAAGCTAGAAATATGAGTCAACTGCTCTTGAAACGTCTCCATGGAAGTGGTGATGCAGTTTCCTCCCACTCTCTTGTCACTGCAGGAACATCACAGAATATGAGCAGCCTGAGACAACTTGAGGTAACATTTGCTTTTTTAAAGTTTATGCTAATTATATTATGTTTTACTGAAATCAATATTATACATTATATGAACTTACCATACTGATGCTTTGATAATTTTGAGGATACTTATGCAATTTCCTTTTGTACTATCATTTTTGCCATTCTGTGCATTGTCATATTTATTGATTTCGAGGATCATTTCTCATAATTGTCTGATCTTTTTCTTCCTTTCCTATTTCATCTGTCTTGAGTTTGCAGTTTTCTCAACATGCATTGAACTTACGAAGTGACTTATATTTGCTACTTCAAGGCCTTACAAATAATAATTATTTGAGAAAGATCATTTGTATTTCCCTAATTTGAGGTGCAAATATATTGGTTCTCAAGTATAATTACCGTGTGTTCCATGACTGCATTGGGAATTTTTTTTAAGCAGCTATGTCGCGATTTTATAAAAACTAAAAAGAGAAAAAAGTAATAAAAAACATAATTACTCTTGATGGAAGCTTCGATGATGGTGCGAAAATATCACTGCAGCCTTTCCGTCGTTCCATTTTTTTGCATGCTAACTGTTGCCTGTATGACTAAGCTGTAATGTTTATCTTCGAGGGGTACAAATTTGTCTTTCTTAGCATTCCTTTTTCTCTATCTTTCGTAGTTAGAGGTTTGGGCCAAGGAAAGAGAGGCTGCTGGATTGCGTGCTAGCCTGAATACACTGATGTTGGAAGTACATCGCTTGGATAAATTATGTGCTGAGAGGAAGGAAGCTGAAAATTCTTTAAGAAAGAAGTGGAAGAAGATTGAAGAGTTTGATGCTCGCAGATCTGAGTTGGAATCAATCTACAAAGCGTTACTGAAGGCAAACATGGTAGGATCTCTCTCTCTCTCTCTCTCTTTCTCTCTCTCTCTCTCTCTCTCTCTCTCTCTCTCTCTCTATATATATATATATATATATATATATATATATATATATATATATATATATATATATATATTATATTCATCGAAAGTACAAACTTATTTTATACTAGCGGTCAAAATTTCTTTAATAGAGTAACATGATAGCATCATAAATTGTGGACTGTGGTTCCCTTCATTAATGATATTCCAAGATCTAGTTGCCGCCATAACTCTTAAGTAGTCAGCAATCAGCATATGAAGTTAGAAGATGGGAAAGCTCTAGCATGTATATGTTTCTGTCTTATTTCATGGCAAACTATTGTATGTTGACTTTTCCTTATTATTGCAGGATGCTGCTTCTTTTTGGAATCAGCAGCCGTTAGCTGCAAGGGAGTATGCATCAAGCACTATACTTCCTGCATGCAACGTTGTCGTGGACTTATCAAACGATGCACATGATCTGATTGATAAGGAAGTTGCAGCCTTCTATCGAACTCCTGATAATAGCATTTACATGCTTCCGTCAACTCCTCAGGTTTGTGGCCAGTATAAAAATAAAAATAATTTCCTGCAATGTTTATTCCTTAAAGGTAGAGTTCTGTAATGTGGGCTCCATTTGGAGTGGATGATATGAAACTATATTTCAAATCTATAAAGAAAAATTCATTGAACTCGTTTCGGTGGACTCACTTTACAATCAATTTAAGACCCATAGCTCTCATTTTTAACTCTTGTTCAAGTCATTATGGAGGATTTTAGGATTTTATTTTATCCACTTAATATGGAGTTATTTGTAATCCTTCCCTCAAACCCAAAAGCAACCTTAGAGATTCTCCATGTTATGACTTAGACTTGTACCTTTTTTTTTGGACCTCTTTGGAAATTGTGTGCCAATCAAAACTGCCAGACTACCTTCAATTTTTAGTTATCTTGTTTTCTCTTTCTATCAAGTCAGAATATAGGGACCTGGATCCCAAGATTTGGTATAATGTTGCATTTCGTATGGTAGGAGTTTGAAATCAGACAATCACCATTCCAAATTCATGACTGGGTCTGGATATTTGGATATGTTATGACTGATAATGAGTTATTTTTTGTCATAAATAACGAGTATCATGTCCGAGATTCCAAGATGTGTACATACGTTATAGTTGATAATGTGTTGTTCAGCCAAATTTAATAAGTATCTTAGTGGGACTAAATGACAATATATCTATGTTTGTGCCAGATAATCTTGAGGAAATCAATTGGATTGTGCTTCTTAACTTATCTATATAATTTAACAAATAATTCTGGAAGCCTGGCACTTATCATTCTCTCGGATGACTCCTCTAATAGACATCCTTTTGATGAGTTTGCTTTTGTGATATGTGCTATTGGTGCATGCTTGGGCTAATGCTACTGAAATTTTGTGTTTCTGAAAGTACTCTATTAGTTGAACCTTGCCATGTTTCTTTTAAAATAATGATTTCTATATAATGGCCCTCGAATTTAAAAATAATGGCAAGGACCTGTTGGGAATAGACGAGGATTTTGGTTCCTTATGAGTTTTTGTTTCATACATTTCTCTTATGTGCTTTCTTTGATCTGTTCAGGCACTTTTAGAGTCAATGAGTACAAATGGCTCTTCAGGCCCCGAAGCAGTTGCTAATGCTGAGAGGACTGCGTCTGTGCTTACAGCTAGAGCTGGTGCAAGAGATCCTTCTGCTATTCCTTCTATATGCCGCATTTCTGCTGCCCTTCAGTATCCCGCTGGTAAGCTTTTCCATCCTTCTGAGTATTTCTAGATGTCTATTGATAGCGTGCTCAAATAAAATTATTTTCTGATGGCGTTTTGTTCCTAAATCAGTCAACCTAATGAATCTTGCTTCTTCTCAATAAGAATCTCTAAAAGAGCTTCATTTGTCATATTCCCTTAGTTAGCGAGCTAGCAGCCATACTCTTTCATAAAACCCGTACAACCTTTATCTTTGACATATCAAAAAACTAGATCTTGCAATTATAACAAAAGTATAATGTTCTCTCAATGAATTCCTTAGTGAGGAATGTAAGTGCAGAAATAATTGCTCGATTAATTCTCTAACTCTCATGAATCAATAGCATTTCTTAACTTGGGAGTTGGGAGAGGACATAACATGCAGCTATTTACCAAGGCCTGTGAAATGTTGTTTCGAGCTGGTTAGTGATATGTTGAAACAATATCTAAGAAGAATGCAGTAATGTGCTCTTACTGCTATATTAGAATCACATGAAGATTTTAAGAGATTATTATTGCTAAGCATCAGCTGTATTTCATTTCTGCAATTGCATGCAAGCTAAAGCTTAAACTTCCTATATCTAAGCACGGGCAACTCTTAGTACCTATAGAAATGACTGTAATAAGTTCATTGTGATGAGAAAGTTCTTGGACTCTTAGGTTGCATTTGGATCGAATTCTAATCCTTCAATCCTAATGCACTCTTGTTAAAAATATGTGCCGTTAATTTTTCTTCTTACTTCCCGAGCATCGAAAAGTATTTGGATGCACTTGAATTAATTCAATCTAACGCAGGTTTAGATGGTTTGGATACTGGTTTAGCATCCGTTCTGGAGTCCATGGAGTTTTGTTTAAAGCTTCGTGGTTCTGAGGCTTGTGTATTGGAAGACTTGGCAAAGGCAATTAATTTGGTTCATGTTCGAAGGAACCTTGTAGAGAGTGGTCATGCTTTGCTAAATCATGCTCATCGTGCACAGCAAGAATACGATAGGTACAGTCAACACATTCCTTTTCTTTTATTAATTGCGGCATGAATACCTTAAAGGTTTGGGATGTTACTGCAAGCTCTTTGTTTCGTCTTATTGGCTTGTTTTCATTTTATAACATTAACCCGAGACCTAATATTCAATGCATAATTCTTCTCGTGTGCCATATAAGAAGCAAAATGGTCTTTTGTTATGGGACAAAGATGGATTAATATTGCACTTCTCGGAACTCTTATTTGCAGGACAACAATCTACTGCCTGAATTTGGCAGCTGAACAAGAGAAAACCGTTACAGAAAAATGGATACCTGAACTAAGCAATGCAATTTTAAATGCTCAAAAATGTCTCGAAGACTGCAAATACGTCAGAGGCTTGGTAAGAAACACGTCTGCATGAACTCCAATAGTATTTTTGTTTTGCTAATTAATGCTAATAAAATCAATATCTTTGATTTCGTGATTTCTTTGTCTAAAATTCTGAAATTTTATTAGCTTGACGAGTGGTGGGAACAACCAGCAGCTACAGTGGTTGATTGGGTTGCTGTCGATGGAGAAAACGTAGCTGTGTGGCAAAATCACGTGAAGCAGCTTCTAGCATTTTATGAATAATAGTGAATATACTACAACACCGAATGAAATTCTGCCATTTGCTCCAATTGTTTTCCACTTCCCATGCTGGTATTATTCACTACACAATTCGAATTGGAGACTTGATCATATAAATTAGCAGCGTCGGGCGATTGTGGATATGTTTTTCTTTTTTTTTTTTTTACTGAAGAAGGGAGGAAAAGGATGTGTGTACAGTTAGGTTGTTTGTAATAGACTGAAATGTGAAACGTATTTGATTGATTTTACGATTTTCTTGTAAGGATGGTTCTTCTTTGTAGATGGAAGAATCTCTTCGATTATTTTAGTTTTCCCGAGTTAGCTGATTTTCGAGGTTTGATTGTTGCAATCGGCACTAGTGTGGTCTTATTCTCCTATGTACTATAATACTATATAGTAATGTTATCTTTGTGACTCGTGAGAATGTGTACTGCCGTACTGGTGTTCTTTCAGATTCTGCATACTTGTAGTAAAGCTTCATTAAGGGACGTTTCGATTAAATAGAATTTGAACTATTAAATCGGAATTGAAAGAAAATAAAAAAAATAAAAAAGTTAAAACTTGGGGTGGTTACTTGGAGCACTCAGGGCAGGAAAAATGGCCTCTAGCACGACAATTCATGCAAGAAGAAGATGGTGACGTGGCTTTCAGACCGAAATCTTGTTTCTCACCGACGGCTGTGATGAAATCGAACGGTCCACGTTGTTTGATCAGACCAGAGCCTTTGCACTTGGAGCAAGCTATCATCTTCAAATCACCACATCTCTTGCACATACCCAAAGAACTGTTGTAAATACATTCAAATATTATTATTATTATTATTTGTGAACTTAATTATATATATATAAAAAAAAAATGAATTATATTATATTAAAAATGACCTGCGCTGAGAAATAGAAACGAAGGAGTCGAGTTTGGAGGCGGAAATGGTAGCGGAGAGGAGTAGAGCTCCAACAGTGTAGCCTGCTATTTCACTTGCTGTTATGTTTTCAAACATCTTTCTTTTCCTATTTTTTCAGCCAAAGACGATAGTTTCTCTTATCTATGCCTTATCCTTTACTGGTAGATATAATGTAGTTTATTAAGAAAGGATATTTGGTAAACAAAATGGCCCATTAGCTCAGTTGGTTAGAGCGTCGTGCTAATAACGCGAAGGTCGCAGGTTCGAGACCTGCATGGGCCAATTTCTATTTTTGATGTATTTTTCCTCTTTTTTTTTTTTTTTTTTTTCTAACTTTACATTGTTTTTTCTCCCATTTTTAACTGGTATTTATTTCTATTTTTATACTGATTTAATTTTATACAAACACCGAATTCAAGATTACAACGTGTAATGATTCGTCTTATTAATTTCCTCACATGAAGAAAATTTCTAGTAAATCAAATTTTCTCTAACCAATAATCAAACAGTCACAACATTAATCAAATCCACAAAAAAAAAATGGAACTAATTACTACTCTCTTATTTATGCTGCTGAAAAATAAAATTAAAATCCATTTTCAAAATCACAAACTTTGAAGTAAATATATATCAGTTGAAATTAGTAGTACTATCACCAAAGTTCCACAATCCATCCCACAAGCAACAATCCATCGGGATAGTACTAAACTCCGACCAGGATAAGCCATGATAATAATCTTGATTAAACACAGGCAACATTTTATCATTAATCTCTTCGACATCCGCCCCCGTACAATCGGGCCCCACCTCTTCTTGCTTGCTGTCGTTTTCCGCCACTAATTGAGGCGATATCGATTCAATATCAACATTATTTTCTTTTTTCTGCTTATTAAACTGATTTCTTTTTTTAATTACTTCAGAAAAAGGCTTTGATGATGATGGTCTCTTCTTGAAATGAGTTCTCCAGTAGTTCTTGATTTCATTATCTGTTCTTCCAGGCAAATATCTTGCTATTGTTGACCATCTGTTACAAACATCTATAAATTAATACAGTTGACACTAACAAAATTTTATTAATTTAGCGAAACATATCAAACTAATAGGTTTTTACCGAGTCGATCTGGACTATAAAAAAAAACTATTATTTAAGCGAGATTCTACTATATATTGTCAGATAAAATTATAATTAATATAAATTAATTAATTAATATAATTAGTAAATAAAAATTACTTGTTTCCCCAAATGGAATGAAGTTCTATGATGATTCCTTGTTCTTGTGGTGTTAATTGGCCTTTTTTAAGACCAGGTCTCAAGTAATTCACCCATCTTAGTCTGCAGCTTTTCCCACTCCTATTCAAACCTGAATTAAAATTAAGATTATACACACAATTTTCCACTATTAAATTAAGATTTAGTTAACTAGCACGAATTAAAAACATAAAATCAAGTAATTATCGGCCAACTACCTATCCGACCTGATCATCCAATTTTGCTATATATTAAAAACTATTACCAGTTTGGCCATTATTGAAAACTTTGTCGTGTAAACAATGAGTCGGTTAATTAGTGGTATTATCGTTCATCTATCTATTCATTTTTTCCTACAATAATAAGACGTTTTAAAAAGTTTTTTCAGAAGATATAGAAAATTTATGTTGCTAAAATCCTAACTTTAAAATTAAGAGTCTTTTCTACTAAACTTCTACAATAAGTAAACATACAATAATGAAATAAGTATTATAAAATAGAAACAGTACGTAGAGGGTTAATAAATTTGTGTTCCGAGTTTTTGAGTTATAAATTATTTTTCCACGTTAAGAAAATAAAAATTACAATTAAATATCTATAATAAATTTTTATTACCAAAAAAAAAGTCGATTGGCCGATATTATCCGACACCAACCGAATTTTGAGTAAACTGAAAAAATTACCGGTACATTTGGAGACAGAACTCCATCTTCCTTCACCAAATTGGGTAACATATTCAATAAGCAGCTTATCTTCAACAGGTGTCCATGGCCCTTTTCTCCATCCTTGCTCACTAATTCCATACTTCTCCATTTCTTAATTACTTCTTAATCACAACCTTAATTATTTTCAAGATTCTTTTTTTTTTTTTTTTTTTTTTTTATTTCTACTGTTTGATTGTATGACTGTCTGTAGTTTCTATGACAGAACAGAAGAATAATGAGCAATCTTCCTTTGTATATATATATATATATATATACGAGTCCTTTTAGCAAAGATTAATTAATAATTAAATTAATTAATTAATGTGACGCCATTAATTAACACTCACTAAATAACACACTAATAAATCTTTTTTTTTTTTTTTTTTATTACCAAATCAGTGTTTGTTCCTCACAGATTCTGCCAAGTGTTGATCTATTTTTAGGTCTGCTGGATTCTCCACCAATGAGCGTCCAACATCTGTTGATACCGAATCTTTTGTCGTCGTACGGTCAGACATATTTTAGGGCATGCAATTATTAAAATTAATTAATTAATTATTCATGCATGATTTTCTCAATAATTAGGTCTTTCATGGTATTTTCACTCTAACTTCTTTTGCAATATTTCAATAAAATATTTTAAAAATCTCACCCCACTAACATCACTACTTAGAAGAATCTTTTTACAGTTAAACCTCTATAAATTAATACAGTCGGGACTAGAGAAATTCTATTAATTAGCGAATTATTAAACTATCGAGTTAATAAGTTAATATATTTTCACCGGGTCCGAGAGAAACTATTATTTAATCGAGGTTATACTGTATATATAAAAGTACGAAACATTTGGCCAATCTAAAAAACCCTAATGGCATATATGTAATTTTTAAAAATTAATTACATCTCGTATTTTCCAGTTTTTTTTTTTCCCAATAACTTTCATAGCAAAATAAGGTTTGCAAATCGACTAGCAAAATCCTAATCCACTCGAGAATACTGGTTTATTTTTCCTTGCAATTTCTATGAAAATAATTTATTTTGTGGTTAATATTTGTTTGGGATGTTAATTACTTCTTACGAGTAACAACTAAATAGAAAACTAAATAGAAATGTATCAAAATTTATAAAATTCAGGTGGTTTGATTAATTTATGCTTTTTTATTTAGTAAACGGTTTTCATTATTATGATTTGTGTGATCATATTTGTAGGAATATTAACACTATTTTAGTATTTTAAATTTTTACAACTACTTATTTTAAAATTAATTATTTTAGTATTGTGCAATCTATTTTTTAATATAATTTCATTATTATATATTTAAATTTTCATCTTTTTTCGCAAGGAAGATATTTTCACAATAAATAGTAAACAAATATACAATGATAAGTTCCACTACTTACGTAATGTGATATTCTTCTTCAATTCGAATGTATGTCGGATAATCTCTTAATTAAAAAATAAATAATTTACCTTTTTAAGCATTAAGAAGCTTCTTGATACCCAAATAATAACAATAAAAAATAATTAATTAGTGGGCATAATAATAATAATAAAATATACATGTAAAAGATGACAATGTCGTTGACTATGAGTCAACTGATGGACGCGTGGAGGAGTGAATTGGCAAGTTTGGAATTGTGAGGGGCATGTATTTAATTATTTATTAGTTTATTGGTTAAAGGTGATTACGTTAATAGGCATAGGTAATGAGGTGTAACACAATTGCAATTAAATTAAATTAAATTAAAATATGGCTTTCAAAACAAGATTTGCCAAACACTTGGCATAGTATTTATGGTTGCATGTGAGGTTTTGTAATATAATAGTGAACTTTACTAATATGATCTCATTGTACACATTATGCATTTGAATTGGATGTTGGTGTAAATATCTAGATACAAGTGCACGTATTATACAAGTAATATAGTGGACAAAAAGTTCGAAGATCGATCCTAAAAAGAATATTTAATTATTCAATTATAAGCACTCGATTCTCCAAATTATGTTCAAGCTCATCCACATGAACAATTGCTGTCAAACTCAGGCTAACAGAAATAACCCCGAATTAATAAAGTTGCATAAAATCATGAGAAATGGTTCACAAATCCCATATAGCGTCCAATTAGAACCCTAAAAAAAACTTAGTTACTCATAATTCCTACGAAAAAAATAGAATTCATAAAAGAAGGAAGAAAAAAATATGCTCAGTCTTCGTAGACCTTCGTTCTTCACGCCTTGCTAACTTGCTCTAAAATTTCGTGCTTAGATCCCCTAAATTGTGTTGAGAAATTATACTTATATAGTGGTCTGGACTTGATCAATAAGGCAAGAGATTTGTTGTGCAGGTAAAACTTTCTTTATGTGCAGATTTGGGGTCTCAGACGGCCGTTTCAATTTCCAAGTTATTTTTTGGACGATCGTCCTGAAATGCGTCGGTTGTTGTCATGCTTCGTTGTCCTGGGCGATTGTTCGGTGTTACAGTTCATTTTGGGACAATTGTTTGAAGCTCTTCTTAGTGTAATTTTGTTTTTCATTTCTTGCCCGTTGATCCATTTTGCTGTTCAAACGTTCGATTTCCCAACTTGCACCTAGAACACATAAAAGCAATGTTTTGAAAATCGGACCGGACATAGAACCGGATAGCCAACTGGGTCGCGGTTGGACCGGTTCAACCGGGGTCCAACCGGGTTTTGTAATATTTTCTATTTTTAATTATTTGTGAATATTTATAATATATTCTCTTTTAGAAATGTATTTTAATATTCATCATTAATCTTCTATTCACAGTTATTCATAATTAATTAAACATCTACAATACAACACACCGTAAATAATTTAATTTATATTTAATATAAATATATTATTTTATACTTGCTCTTAGATTTTCCATTTTGTATTTTTTTATTTCTCTTTCTACTACTAAATAACAAAATAGAAAAAATAAAAAAAATCAAAAAGAAAAAAGAAAAAAAAACCTTATCCGTCAAATTGAAACATATTGGCCCAACCACCCACCTCACACATCAAACCTTTTAAGTGTTTCCTACCGTCGTCTGCTGCTTTCTTTTCTTCCCCAATCAACACGACCTATCAAGCCACTATTGGAGACCAACCCAACATCTCAAGAGTCATGACTTAGCCTGATTCAGCGGCAATTTTGACCGAGTTTTCTTCTATTTTCGCCTTTTTTCTTATTCCTCCCCTATATTACTCAGATCTGTTATTGTTTCTCAAAAAACCGGTTTTTTGCAACTTTTGGGTTTATAGTGCCAACCGGACCGGAAAAGGCAGCGGTTCGCGGTTAAACCGGTCGAACCGGCCGGTTCGGTCCGGGTTTCAAAACATTGCATAAAAGAAGTCATTAAGCACCATATACTCAATAAAATCTAACAAAAATTCTCGTAAGTCAATGTAATTTTAGTATAAAATCCTACACTCAACATACATTGGTAAGAGATAGTTATGTGCGTTAAACTTTGGAAAATAGAATTTGGTGATTGCAATTGGAAGTAAAGCTTAATAATATTTTTTTAATTCTATAAATTAAGAACTTATTTGAGATGAGTAAAATAAAAATATTTAAAATCACTCTCAAACACAAATTATTTAAAAGAAAAAGGAAAAATCATAAACCATTTGCAAAAAAACCAGAGTGTAAACTTGATTTCATATGGGCCGGGCCTGCAAAGGATCCCTAAAATAACTGGGCTTCTATAGAGCCCATTTCACTTAATTGGGCTTATCCAATTAAACACCACTAACCCACGTAGAAAACGGTTGTTAGTTGGCTATCCAATTAAGAAGCGACGCGTGGAATTTTGAATAAATTAATTACCAAAATAAATTAAAATCATTTTAAATATATCACTAAATAAAAAACAAATTTTTATTCCATTGAAACAAAACACTCCGGCCAAGCTTTGAACTGTGGCTTTCACCTCTGCAACACCTTAAATCTTATACAGTTTATACTACACACACTACACACTCTGGTACGTTTTTATTATACTTACAGATTTTTGCACTTTCCCCAATATATATATAATAGTTCGCTAATTGATGCTTTCCCTTTTCTCTGTAGCTCTAACAGGAAGCAGGGCACTTTGTCAAGTCTCCGCCTTTTTCTCCCATTCGCCGCCGCCGCCGCCGCCGGAGAGATCCCGGTAAGTTGTTATCAATTGAAGAGATGGCCGGCGCTGATAAAAAAATCGGGGATGAAACGGCGCCGTTCGACCTCAGTAATTTCACGGTGATTAAAGAAGGAGAGGCTGAGATTTTAATGCACGCCGGAAATGAAGTTTTTTATAACAAAAGCCAGGTTCGTCGGAATCATTTCTTGTTGGTTTAAATTTGATTTTTTTTGTTTTTGTTTTGTGCCTTCTTGTATGAAGGTTATAATTTTACTGATTTATGCATATAAGGTGTTTGATGAAATTCCTTTTGCCTCTGTACAGTTTATACAGGCCTTCATTTATTTAAATACTGACTTAATTGACGATTATATGTAAATGAAGGTGTTGTTTTATTATTTCTCTGAGAGTCTGTGCTAATATTCTGAAAATTTATGTTCATCTATAGCCAATTTCGTGGTTGTAACCTCTGAACGAATCTATTGTATCGAAAATGTAACGATGGCAGGTTAATAACAGAGACATGTCTATTGCGGTTTTGAGGACATTTTTAACAAAGCGCAAACAAGAGCACGAAGAATCAAAATTGTCCAGGAGAAAAAAACATGCACCAAAAGTTGCAGAGGATGAACATGCAGTTGATCCAAAAACTGTAATGGATTCAGGAATGGATATCGAAAAAACGAATGGGGAATGTGAAGTCTCTCAAGAGATATCTGAAGATGAACCGTGCAGCATTTTAGACAATCCAGTTGCAAACCAAGAAGGAAAAGTTCAAGGAGAATTGAAACCACCACAAGTTTTGGAGGTTATTTACGAGTTCACATTATTATAATATTATTATTGCTCTTTTTTTTTTTTTTTTAACTTTTCAAATTATGAATTTATATCTTCATGTATAAGTGGCTTAGACAAGTGCTTGATGTGTGTGTTACAGGCACTATCGGCTTCGGGACTAAGAGCTTTAAGATATGCACGTGAAGTAGATGGAATTGGTCAAGTTGTCGCTCTCGACAATGATAAATGTAATTTCATCATTGTCATTATAATAATCATGCAATTATGCAAGAGCCTTTTTTTTCCGTAATTTGGAGAGACCCTCAAATATGGAAATAAATATGTAATTTGCTCTCAGGTTCTTGTTTGCATTTGGGTAGTTCCCAATGTCCTTGTAAAATAATGTTGTTTTACCGGAATATGGAATAGGTCAAAATTTCATTTTGTTGCATGTAAAATGTCACAATACAATAGGTAAAAAATGCTAACTCCTCCCCTTAAATGCAGCGTCTGTTGAAGCTTGCCGAAGAAATATTAAATTTAACGGTTCAGTGGCATGTTCGAAGGTGGAATCGCACCTAGTCGATGCTAGAGTTTTCATGCTTACGCACCCCAAAGAATTTGATGTGGTATGATATTTCCTATATCATTGTAATGCAAATATAGTTTCTTATATTATGCCGTTATTTCAAATCGATTTATTCACAAATTATTATTACAGGTTGATCTTGACCCGTATGGGTCACCGTCTGTTTTCTTGGACTCTGCTGTACAATCAGTTGTTGATGGAGGCATTTTGATGTGCACAGCAACTGATATGGCAGTGCTTTGTGGGGGTAATGGTGAAGTTTGCTATTCCAAGTAAGATTTTTTTTTTTAATAATTCAATTTGCCGATTTTTTTTTAATAACGTAACTTGCTAAAAATGTATTGACTTTATCCTCTGTTTATCAAAACTAGATATGGCTCTTATCCTTTGAGAGGAAAGTATTGCCAAGAGATGGCTTTGAGAATCCTTCTTGCTTGTATCGAGGTATATTTTGCCTTATGTTTCCTCGTTTCTGTAAGAAACAAATTTAATTAATTTTCCCCCTCAAATTTGATCTTGCTTTTAGATGGTTTGTGTGTTAAGTAATCGATGGAACTTTGTTTTTAATTCATTTTTCTTTAGAATTGCTCACGAAAGCAAGTTTGGTACGTAAATACATCATACGCATATGTATCTAATATTTTGTTGTTGTTGAACTTTTTTATTCACCTACGAAAAATATTCACTCGTAATGCAGAGCCATGCAAACCGATACAAGCGGTACATTGTCCCTGTGATATCTGTTCAGATGGATTTCTACATACGTGTTTTTGTACGCGTGTACACGTAAGTCTTCCCCTCAAATTACATAACTTACGCCAGACATCCGGTTTGGATAACACACCTCACACAATGAGATAATACATACTCTAATCCATCATTTTTTCTAGATATAAATATCTCATTTAACTGCCGACTAACTTTGCTGCAGTTCCGCAAGTGCAATGAAGAACACTCCTTTAAAGCTCTCGTATTTTTATCAGTGCACTGGATGTGATTCTTTTCATCTTCAGCCTGTTGGGAGGACAGTCTCTAAGGTATATAAATAAGTATTAGTATTATTTCCTGCTTATGACCTCTTGTAATTAATAATGCATTTGATCCCGTAAAATTGTTTAATTTTTTTTTTAATATATGTAGAATAAAAGTGTAAGATACCTTCCTGGATTCGGTCCTGCTGTTGCCGAAGATTGCAGTGACTGCGGCAACAAATACAATATGGGTGGGCCCATTTGGTCGGCTCCGATTCATGACATGGATTGGGTCACTTCAATTCTCGAAGATGTCAAGTCTATGAAGAGTTGTTATCCTGCCTTTAATCGGATCTCTGCTGTACTGACTACAATTTCAGAGGTAACTTCAATTCGTTTTTTTTTTCCGATGGAATATATCCTTCCCGAATTTCAAATAGCAGCTTCTTTTTGTTCTGTTGCCTATATTAGTTATTGACGGCGAGAAAAACCAAGAAAAAATTAGAAGGGGTACATGCGTCATTTCATATTTCTTGTGTATTTTCCAGGAGCTAGCAGATGTTCCTCTATTTGTGAGTTTGCACAACATAAGTGGAACATTAAAATGCACATCTCCATCTGCAATTCTATTTCGCTCTGCTGTATTAAATGCCGGATATCGCATTTCAGGAAGTCATGTTAACCCTTTGGCATTGAAAACCGATGCTCCTATGAACGTGATTTGGGATATAATGCGTTGTTGGGTAAGCTCATGTGCTTTTTATTCACCCTAGTTCCTTTAAATTTGGTCACAATACATAAATTTCGATTTTTTTTTAAGTGAAAATAGTTTAATTTTTTTTTTCCACACTTTCAGGTCAAAAATCATCCCGTGAAATCTCAGCCATCGGATCAGCCCGGAAGTGTTATCCTTGCTAAAGAACCTGTTCTCCAGGTACTTATATTCCATTAATTATAAAAATATATAAGTCAATTCTCTCTCTCTGTTTCTAATTCACCCGTTTTTCGTTAAAATGCAGGCTAATTTTGCACGAGCTGCAACTTCACTTAGCAAGGCGCAGGTTAAAAAAGTTGCGAGATTTCTTCCAAATCCCGAGAGGCATTGGGGGCCAAAGGTAAAGGCGGGTCGTCAGATAACTAGCAAGCATGCTTCACTACTCGGTGAAGAAGCGGTTAAATCAGTTAATAACAAACACGAAGAAGGCCATGAACCCCCATGCAAACGTAACAAGACAGAAGATTCTGCGACTAATTTAGAATAATTGAAGAGATAATTGATTATTGCGCCCCATTTATTTTTATCGGACGAATTTTCGATCCTGTGAAATTTTGAAGAACAAGATCAGTTTTGTTTATGGTTCTTGATTTTGGATAATGCTTTTTTGTTTTTTAATGATTCTTCTGGACAAAGGAATTTTCTATGGTATTTATTTTTTTATAATTCTCATTCATTTAATTAGATGGTGTTAGGTGTGTCGTTGAGAAATATTATACGACTTTATTTTATTTGTTTTTCGAGCAGCTTACAACGCCCTGCCGTGTGCTGTTGTTGTTCAAGCTTGTTTTGAAATTTATTTGAGTTTTTAAAAACCATTGTATTTGAGCTTGATAAGCAACCGAGTCAAGTTAGAACAAGTTCTAATCGAGTCAAATGCAAATTGAATTCGAGTATTATGATTTCTTGTACATACGTTTTATTAATTTTTTTTTTCTTATCGAATTCGAGCATAAGCTTATAGCTTAACAAATGAGATATATTCAAGCTTCCTTCATTACATTAATAAATTGAGTTTAAACTGAGCTTTTAATCATCGATCGATCTCGAAATTAAGTATCAAATAGCTTGATTCACCTAGTTTTGTTGTTTGCCCTTGTAATTCGTAGCATCAAAACCCATTCGCTAGTACATATACCAAATTTTGCTTGGTGGTCCTATAAGCCAATGATTAAAAATTGTTACAGTGTAAATAAATTGTTAGACATTGTTATCTGAACAACGAAGTCGTTGTAGTATAGTGGTAAGTATTCCCGCCTGTCACGCGGGTGACCCGGGTTCGATCCCCGGCAACGGCGTTTTATTAAATGTTTTTATTTTTTAAATTAGTTATATGCTGAATTAGTTTGTTTACTAAATTAGCAAAATTTTATGATTATATAAATAATTAGATGTTATTTGATGTTATGTTAGTCTAAATGCAATGGTCGGTGAAAGTCGGAATCTTTCGATTTATTTCTAGAAATTAAAACCTGATCAAAATCGAAAATAAGAAATACCGGAAAAATAGAAAAAAAATCAAAATTACAGTATTCGGAATCCGGAATGAAATGTTTCAAAATCAGAAGTTTTCGAATCTGAATTAGGCAGAATTCGGAAATTCCGGTTCCAATTTTGAATCAAAAACAGGATTTGCTATCTGTAAATAAATAAAATAAAATTAATAAATAAACTTAAAATGCAAAACAATCAATCTAGTATGTATCAAACTGTTCTTATTGTCATTACAAAACCTATGAAAACACTATATCAACAACATTGTATGATTCAACTTCGTGGCAAAACATGTTACAACAACTACATAAAAACAAGACAACGAATAAAAATATTCCAATATTAAAGCACCCGAAATTTTTCTCTGTTCCTCTCGAGTTTTATGCACCCGAAATCGATTACGGAGATGGAATATATATATAAGTTCTTGAATTCACCCTCTTTCTCCAAATATCAACCCCACAAAACAGAATATTCCCTGTCTGAAGACGGAATATTCTTAAAATGCACATGCAAAGGTTGTCAACAAACCGATGAGTAGAACAAGAAACGAGACGGTTTTCCGTAAACTTGAGTTTGGAAGATAGGGATATGCTTCGGGAGGCGGCATCACACAATTATCTCCATTGAAATAAATTCTTCTTGGAAATCCCCAGCCTTTGTCAAAAGTGAAAGTCGATTTGTCTTTGCGGAAGAGAAGCTCTGATTGAACATTCCCTAGTGGGCCCGCTTGGTTGAGAAAATCGTTATAGAATTTTACACCCCACAACATCGCAGTATCGTCTGCCAAAACCAAAAAAAAAAAAAAAAATCAGATTCGAAAATATTACTAATGCTAGAAGTCAAACAGATTCATAAAATAGAGCATAATTTTGGAAAAAAAGATTTGAGTGTATTGCATTTAGTACCCACTGTGTTATATCGAATTACTATAAAAGTCCTTGTTTTATTAATATTAGCAAAAACAACCCTAATATGTTTGCTAAGTGCTAAAGAAAAATACATTATAGGGGTGGATTTGCTAATCTAGTGTAAAGAGGGTAAAAATAAAATAAAAGAATATATATGTAAAAAACATTTTACTACATAAAAAAAACTTACTTATATTCTGGTATGGATTTAGTGGTTTGTAGTTGAAGCTGAAAAGCTGAGTCAAATTGTCGAAATTGGGGTGCTGCACAACTAAATTCCACTGCGAATAATTCATTCGGTAATTAAAGTTCGTAATAGTGACTTTGACCCTCCAATAATCCTTGTAGTTCAATTTCACGTGCCAGTGGACTCTAACGGGGCACATATGGCTGGTGCATTGGACCAGAGGCGCCATATTATTGCTCTTCCCCCGTTCGGAAACAACCGAAGCAAGGTACGGTGAATCTGGACTGCAAATGAAAAAAAAAGTACCTTCAAATTAGTGTTCATTGTATTTTGTACTCCTGTATTATAGCAAATTGCTAAAAGAACTCCTCGTGTTATAAATAAAGCAAAAAGAACCCTATGATGCAATTTGTTTTGCAGACAAACCCCTAAATGGTGCATTTTTAGGGGGGTAGTTTGCTAATAAAATTGAATCATAGGGGGGAGTTTGTTAATATTTATAACACGTGGGAGCTACATGCAATAAACCCAAATATTAATAGGAGAGAGAGGAAAACATACTTGACGCAGCTTCCTGGGTTAGTGAGGTTATTTTGACATCCACATGTACACGTTGGGCAAGGCACAATTGTGTCGTTGTAAAAAGACGAGAGAGAGACGCAACAGCTAGGAGTTTTTTGAGCTAGAAACTGCGAGTATGTGCATGTAATGTTCCATGTCACTGCAATAAGAGAAACATGAGAAACAATTCGAGAATATGAATATTTATAAAAGTTGACAACTATATAATATACAAAGGCCAAAGTTTTCGAAAAAGAAAAATCGATGCAAATTATTTGATGCATGCTTCCACTTATGCAAAAACTCCACAATATCTTTGAAATGAAAAATTGATGCATAAACATGATCATTAACACTTATGGAGTTTAATGCATTTAATGTACCCGTGTTATATACCGAATTGCTGAGAGACTCCGTGTGTTATAAATATGAGAAAGAAGAAGAAGTAAAAAAAAACACGAAGCATTTTTAGCACACAACCCCCTACATTGTGCTTTTAGGGGTAGTATGGTCATAAAATTGAATAACACGGGAAATTTTGCTAATATTTATAACACAATGAGTGTTTTAACAATTAGAGTAAACAGAAGGGCGCTAATTGCAATAAACCCAATAAATAAATCAGCCTTTCACAATCGAAAAATTAAGGGAGGAAAAAAAAAACAGAGAACTTACTCATAGCTTGTGTAACTCTCCTTCCATCCCCAGTTAGATACTTAGTCGGTTTCACGATTTTAGCAGGCCCGCAAGTATATCCAGGGCCCGGGGCCCTCAGGGTGAAGTTCCTAGGAAGCTTAACGGTTTTATTAGTGGTCCCTGCTCCACCGACGCTGACCTGGAAAGCGCTCGCGGAATTGGACGGATCTTGAGCCCACGAATTGATCACACCTCCTTTGCAACAATTACCAATCTGTTGGTTGTACGGAGTTCCGGGCAATAAGTCAACAACTGTGGGATCTTTCTTACAGCAATGTGGAATATTCCCTTTGAACCTCGAACAATCTCCTTGCTCCGTTGTTTGACCGCCCATCATGCTCCATATCACCTCTTTCTTCGCCCACGTCCAACCTAAAGTCCAACCGGGTGCTTGAATGTGACGATATTGTTGGAAATTGAACATTGTCACAAGAGCCTGCATAAAGAAAACAGGAATAAATGTTATCGAAAGATTTCATTTTTTTTTCTTCTTGGGTATAACTTAAATAATTGAGATATGAAATCGGAGGCTCCAATTGTCTATAGATGTAATCGGATCAAGAAAGCAGTGAATAAAAACATTGACAATGGTAGGTAAAGTAATTTACACATTTACGGAAATTATTTTCGTTTTACTTTTGAATTTTCGTTTTCCTCGTTTCAAGATCCTCGAAAGATAGGGGAAACCACTAAAAAGAAAAGGCAAGAACACCAAACTTTCAGTCACAATAGATGAATGTAGACTAATACAGAAATTTAATTCGACAAATTTGACAATACAACAATAAACGGCAAACGAGGGACTCGAATTTGGATTTATTTGGATTAAGCTTCACAAATATAAAATTGATCAGATGAGTGTGAGTTTAATTAGTAGAGAACACTTACCACATAACCATCAGCTGTCCAACTCGTAACATCCCACTTTATTGTGATGTTTCCATTTGGATCAAGTGCATCATAAGCTTCTGAAATCATAAATCAACAGCTTAAATTCACATCCAAATCTTCAGAGATTTCGAGGATATTTATCACACATTATTATCATAAAATTTTAAAAAAAAAAAATGAATCGTTATTTCGGATTCATTAATTGAAGAAAAAAAAAGTCAATTATGCATTTAATCACTCGAAATTCCGATCATCAATGAAATCAAACCGTTTTATTTCTCAATTAGCATTAAATCTTTACAGATAATTGCACACCCATGGAACCAATTTCATTAAAAAAAATTATAAACAAAAAGAGGAAAAAAGAGATTGATTACCTGTTGAAGTGAAAGTGAAGGAAGAGAGCAAGAAGAGTAGCGAAACGAGGGGAAATGAGAATCTGGAGAGAGATCTGAAGAAGCAGAGCTCCATTTCTCTCTAGTTGCAGAGTTTCTCACTCTAGAGATCTGCGGCTCAAATTGTAGAGAGAGAAACCAAACAGTAAGAAAGTAAAGCTTGTTTGAGAATGAGCTTAACTCTACTTTATAGTAACGTGTTTCACTTTGATTCTTTCAGAGTATTTAGTGCCTCTCTTTTTTCTTCTTTCCCTTTTTTTTTTACAGTTTCTCTCTCTCTCTAGATCTTTCTCTCTCCTCTCTCTCTCTCTCTAGAAAGATAATTTTGTAAAATATTGAAGAAAGTGAGAGCCTAACTAAAGAGCATGCAACAGACAGGGAGGATAAAGACAAATTCATAATGGTATTTAATTAATGATGGGGGATCTTTTAATTACTTAATTTAAGCTAATTTTGGTGGTCTTTGATTGAGGGGGTGATGGAATATTAATGTTAAACTGAGTTAATTTATGCGCGACAGTTAATCGTAGATCTGCACATAATTAAATATACTCGTGTGTATATGTGTTTTCTGTAAATAACCTCGATGCAGCATTTAACTAATCGACAACTGAAAGTGATTAAGCTACTTTTATGGTACGATTTATGACACTTTCAAAAAAAACCCAAGATTTATGTCTATGAACACAAAATTTACCTTATGAGATAAAGAAAATTGGGTTAATGTAGTTTCGATGGCTGTAAATAGATTGAGTCGACCCCAACTCATAATTGTTCAAATTTGTTTTACAAAAGTTGCAATTGAGTTTGGGTGTAAAATAAATGAATCGAGTCGAGTTAGAGCAATATTTAATTAAGCCAAATGTAAATCGAGCTCGAATAACCTCATTTGTTGTACGTATCTTATCATTTTCTTTTAATTGCGTTCCAACTCTAACTGAAACTTTATATGTTATAAAAATTAATTTGCTGTGTTAAAAATTGAATTCATACAAGCTTTTAACAAATGATTTCAAATCAAATATTGAGTAATTTAGTTTAATTTCAGCTCTAAATATATATAAGCTATGATTATTTTGGGAAAAATATAAACTATGAATATATTGTGATATAGTTCTTATGGGATTTAGTCAAGTCTTTATATATATATATATATATATATATATATATATATATATATATATATATATATATATATATATATATTATAAAACTATTGAAATTGCACAAATTGTGTCGGTGTGAAAGTGATTTTTGGGGAATTATTGTTAATTTCCAGTCAAGAATACAACTGTCGTTTGCTAATATATTGTAGTTTTTGTCACTATTATTATCAGCCTCAACCTCAACCTACTATTATAGTCACTTTCATCATCAACCACTAAAAGTAATTTAAACATTAAATATATTTATAAATTGCAATATATATTTATGATTATTAATGAATAAATAAAGTTATTGCTAATACTAAATCAAAATGTCAACACCAAATACTTTGTGAGGGTAACGGTATTCCCTGAATTAAAGTCAAATTACCAAAAAAACCTCTTGATTGTAATTACCTAACATATGGGAGGTTTTTTATAACTGAACCTTACTTTGGGATGGTTGTATTTAATCATACTTTTTTATTACCCTCTTAAAATTTCCCCAAGTTATTTATCAATAAATGTGTGTGGGAGAGAGAGTGGAAAAATGAAAAAAAAAAAACAAGAAGTTGCCGACAAATTGTTGATTATTAATGAATAAATAATTGTTATTTTTTTTATATAAGATAATGAATAAATAATTGAAACAAAAGGCTTTTGGCAGTGTCGGTGAATAGGAATTTGAATTTTTCCACGATAAAGAACAGCTAACAAATTATATGGCGTGGGGCCTTCCTTTTTTCTTTTCTTTATTTATTAATTTTTTTTTTTGTCAGATTTATTTTTTAATTAATAAAAATCATAATCAAAAGATCCTATTTTCATTAGAGAAACAAAGTGAATTGAGTAATAATTAGAGTAAGCTTGAAAAATACTCTCAAGTTTTGTGCACCTGTAATCCGTACGAATGAAGACGTAAATCGGAATCTTTTCGTCGGAAGACGCAAGATTCTTAAACAACACACGCAAAATGTGTTGCAAAGGTTGTCAACAAACTGATCAGTAGCATAAGCAACGAGACATTTCGGTATATACTTGAATTTGGTATAAACGGATATGCGTCGGAAGGTGGCATAGTACAGCTGTCGCCGTTGAAAAAGACCGTTCTCGGAAAACCCCAACTGCCGTCGGAAGTGAAATTAGATTTGTTTTTCCGGAAAAGAATCTCCGACTCGACTTTTCCCAGTGGGCCCGCTTGCATGAGCAAATCGTTATAGAATTTAACACCCCATAGCATTGTCGTATCATCTGTCGAAACCAAAAAAAAAAAAAGGTCGTCAGATTCATTAACGAGTACTTAATTTCAAATCAAAAAGATTTCACGGGGTTTTCTTTGAAAGCAGTGGTGGAGACTGGGGGCAGTGGCCCCCCAATGTAGTATATTATATAGACTTACTTATGCTCGTGTATGGATTTAGTGGCTTGTGGTTGAAGCTGGATATCTGCGTCGAATTGTCGAAGGCGGGGTGTTGTACAACTAAGTTCCACTGTGTGTAATTCATTCTGTAATTGAAGTTTGTGATAGTGATATTGACTTTCCAATAGTCGTTGTGGTTCAGTTTTACGTGCCAGTGGACTTGAACGGGGCACATATGGCTGGTGCATTGGACCAGAGGTGCCAAGTTATTACTCTTTTGCCCTCCCGAAACAACCGAAGCAAGATTTGGTGAATCTGGACTGGAAAGAAACATAAGGCAAAAAACCCCGTTAATGAGAGAGAGAGAGAGAGAGAGAGAGAGAGAGAGAGAGAGAGAGAGAGAGAGAGAGAGAGAGAGAGAGAGAGAGATCTTACTTCATACAGTTTTCTGGATGAGTGAGATTGTTTTGACATCCACAGGTACAATTTGGGCAAGGTACAATAGTGTCGTAAAAAGACGAGAGCGAGACGCAACAAGTAGGAGTTTTATCGACAAGAAACCGTGAATACGTGCATGTAACGTTCCACGTCACTGCAATAAGAGAAACGATTCAAAAAATATCACTACAAAATATTGATGACTTAGTTTTACGAAAAAAATACATTCATAATCGAAAAAATTATTCGATGCAAGTGCTTCCACTTACCTACAGCTTCACAATACATTCATAATCGATTTGTTTTTGAAAACTTATGTTAACGACCGCACGAAGAAACTTACTCATTGCTTGTGTTATTCTCCTTCCATCTGGGGTAACAAATCGAGTGGGGTTCACGATTCTTGCACTTCCACAAGTATAGCCGGGACCCGGTGCATTCAGAGAGAAGTTCTTGGGAACCTTAACAGTTCCGTTAGTGTTACCGGAATTACCAACAGAAACTTGGAAAGAGCTCACAGCATTTGTTGAATCTTGGGCCCACGAACTAACCACCCCTCCTTTACAACAATTAGGAATCGTTCGATTGTGAGGAGTTCCGGGAAATAAGTCCACAACGGTGGGATCTTTGTTACAGCAATGTGGAATATTCGCTTTGAATCTCAAACAATCTCCTTGCTCTGTAGCTTGACCTCCCAACATGCTCCATATCACCTCTTTATTTGCCCAACTCCACCCCAAAGTCCAGCCTGGCTCTTCTATATGTCGATACTGTTGATAGTTTAGCATTGTGACGACAGCCTGCCCAATTCAAGAATACCAAAAATGTATTTGTCGAAAATGAAAAATACAGACGGCAAACTAGAACTCAAGTTCAGAGTTCGGATGACTTTGGATTGAGCTTTACAAGTATATATTACTATATATACAAGTCTCGATTTGCAAATTCAAACTATGATGAATAAGTCGAGTTCGTTGGTGATAAACCGTATAAGCGTAAAGCAATTAGTAGAAGATTTACCACATAGCCATCGGCCATCCAATCGATGATATCCCATCTTATCGTGATATTTCCATTAGGATCAAGTGCATCATAAGCTTCTGAAATAAAAAACGAAGAAATTAACCCAAGCGAAAACTTTATGTTCGTATCATATGAAATCAAAATTCATATAGCTTTTACCACTGGAAAAAAAGTCAATGATGCATTTTATCACTCAGAGTTCTAAAACTGTTGAAAATCAAATCAGGCCGATTTTCTCGTTTATCGATCATGATTAAATCTATACGAGGTAATTGGCAACCCGTCTAACCAAATTCATGAACAAGTACAAGAAAATGAAGGGAGAGACTAGATTACCTGTTGAAGTGAAACCGAAGCAAGAGAGCAAGAATATAAGCGAAATAACAAGAGTCGAGAGTCTTAAGAGAGATCTAAAGCAATGCTCCATTTCTTGCTCTCGAGATCTGCATGGAATGTAGAGAGAGGAGAGATAAAGAAGCAATCCAAAGATTAATTAAGAAAGAGCTTAACTTGACTTTAAAAGTCTTCTAATCACTTTTAGTATCACTCTCTTTAGAACACAACTAAATTAATATTCACCTGCATTCGGGTTTTCGATATTCGGTACCCGAACGGTTATTTGAAACGAATCGAATAATCCGCCGGTACTGATCATCAAACTACTAAACTACTGACGGAAATCAAGTCGAAAAAATTATATTTAAAAAAAATTAATTTCATAGAAGTGCAATAAACATTACTAGTATTTGGGTATTTTAAATAGCAAATAGAAATCGCAGCCAGCAGAAATTAAATTACATTAAATTCAATTTTTTTTTTTTTAAACAAGTAATTAGAATCCATGGCAGCCCTAATTTACCTGAAAGGGATCGCATTTCTTCCTCTTTCATGTGAATTTTTCCATAGCTCATCTGGATGAAAGCCTGCAAATTATGGAGTTCTGCTGATAACTGAGAATACTGACTGGTAACTAATGGCGACGCCATTCTCCGCCGCCGCCGCCGCCGCCGGATAATCGTGAAATGGAAGGATAAGTCAGGTGCCGGAACCCCATATAATATTCGGGTACCGACGAATTCGGATCCGATTCGGGTATTTATGTAATTACCCGCATTTTCAAATATCCGAACCAAAACTATCTGATTACCCGCCCATTTGACCCGGACCACCCCTCATCAAATTACAGAAAAAGGAATTATAAATAGTTTAATTATATTTTGCACCCTTAAAATATAGCATTTTGGCACTTTGCACACTCGAAATAAATTAATAGCACTATGTGCCATCAAAACATAATAAATAATGCATAATGCACCCAAATGTTTTTTTTTTAAAGCTAATAAAGGTAATTTCATATTTTTAGTCGTAGTTTTTTAGGATGCCAAATGTGAAATCAATTTTTTTTTATTAATCAATCATTATGAAACTACAAATTGCAAAAATAAAAATACATCTCATCATTGTATTTAAAGATTATATTTTTAATCACAAAAATTATTTTACGAAAAAAAATCCTTCAACGATTTTGTTATCAAGTTATTTGAAAATCATATTTCCTTCCACGTATTTCTACCTAGTATTTCTACCAATTACTATAAAAGAATAATCAATCCAATAATTTAGTCATAAAATTTTATTTTATTTTATTTTATAAGAAAATATAGTTTTTTCGATAATCCGTCGTGATTTTTATTTTTTC